ACAAGTCGAGTCTGAAATCAGAAAAACAATTAGAGTAAGTTCTGTTGAAATTATTTGAAAAGTCCTGTTACCTGATTCTTTGCTGGTTGTTTTTTAACTAACATAAAATCCATTTGATTCATATTCTTTATCTGAAACCCATCAAGGGCGGGAATAAATAAGAAACGTTTTTTCAGAAGCAGCACTTACCATTATTGGAATCGTTATTGAGCATATTCCCTTCGACCAATGAGCGCCTTGTCCTGGAGGACTCATAAGTGGCAATCACTTCTAAAAAGTTGAATAAAATCCGTTGAAGAATACCGCCTTATTATGAAAAATCCACTACTTTACCTGTCTGGGTATTGATATTTTTCATATTAGAGGTTAGAACGAGGGAAAACTTTAATGCCGATGTCAGAAGCCTTTGTTTACGTTTGAAAACAATTGAACATTTGAAAAATGTCACTCAGCTCAGAATCAAGCTGGTTTGCTAGTAAGTTTCACAGCAGTCTGAACTTCTTTTATCCTCAATTCGCGCGTAAAACTGTCCAGTTCCGTTCACAAATTCACTAAGCTTCTTTCACGCACTGTGATTATGTATGAGCGGGTTCGTATTATTGAATTCCACGAGAATTTTTCATTTTAATTGTAAACTTGTAGTAACTATCGCACCTAATTCAGCTGAAAACTCAATAATGGCGGCCCCCGACGCGATATTCCAACAACGCAACCTTCCTCAAGCAAATAATCTCGCTATCCCGTTTTAAATGAGACAAAACATGCTACGCATGTCTTTTACTACGTCAACAAATCAAGGTTATGAGTTACAACGTTTCGACTTTATCGTGACCTGAAAGCTGCTTGCTTACGTTGAGTTCCACAAGGTGGCGATAATCAGCCCTGTGCTGTATTCACTCACGTTAACTTTAACGTGCATGTTATCCGTCAAAAACGTTATGTGGCTCCAACTGGTGTGTTGTATCAGTCAAACCTTTATATTATAACAGGCGCACGCTATCGACGAACGTTATATGAAGAAATAGCGCTTCAGAATAACAGCATCAAATCACATGCCGCTTTCGAACTTAACGTGCTGCCCTCGAAGTTAACTTCGGGGAATAAATAAATCAATTGTGTTTAATCAGAGTGTAGTTTTGTCTTTTAGCTATAATTTGTTTTTAATTTAAAA